AGTCAGATTATCTGATGAAGGTGTAACTAAGATGACAACATATAGGAATCATATTACAAATCAAATGTAGGCACAATATAACAAGAAGTTAGTATTAGTTTATACATATATAGTTACAAATAGTTATACATACGTTGCAGGATTTATTCTTAATACACATATTCACTTATTTATTGTATCAGTGTTATTTACTCTCTTTTTTTGTGATATTATCCATTTAAACTATTTATATTTTTTATTAAAAATTATTTTAATATTAAGATAATCATTATTTTTTAGTTTAATATTAATTTATTTTGTAATTTTCATAATTTATAAAACTCTTTGTGTTGCAAGTATTACTTCAATTTAATATCATATTTTAATGTTTTAATAAATTTTTAATTTAATATTTCCTTTTAAATATAAAAAATATATTTAATTAAATAAAAATAATAATAAAATTCAATATCATATATATATATATATGTATTTAATTTAAAATACTAAAAAAATAGTAAATAAAATCAAACACATTTTCTTTTTTTAGTTTTTAAAGCTTGTTTTTAAAAACAAATTTATTAAACAAATTTTCTTATTTTCTCATCTTAAAAACAGTTTTGAAAATTAAATTTTCAAACAAATTTTGTTTCATTCTTTTCTTAAAAGCAGTTCTATAAAATTATTTTAAAATGTAATTTTTAAAAAGTAAAAAGTAAAACAAAATAAAACAAGCCCTTGATTTATTTTTTTTCTATCTCTCTTCTATCTATCTCTAGTCCACTTTTTCTTCCTGCTAATTATTTAATAAGAAGACGTGAGTTGAAATAATTCATTAACAATATTTAGACATTATTCAAACATTTTATAGTATATTAGTATTTCATATATATCTGTCTACTATTTATTAATATTTCAATTATTTCTTTTGTAATTGAATTTTTTTTACGTAAAAGTCAAACTTTGATTGAAAGTGTATTTACTTTTAACCTAAATTGTACTTTTTATCTTTCAACTATTGTATTTGTTAGATTTTCACATCTTAATTTTTAATTGTGCAATTTTAATCTTTATATTTTTTTAATTTAGTAAATTTTTTCTTCTGTTAAGTTACCATCTAATTTTTAACTGAAATTATACAATCTTTTCTCTCTTATACTTTTGGTCATCAACCATTGTGTTTGTTCAATTTTAATCTCAATTTTTAATTATGCAATTTTAGTCTGTAATTTTTTATTTTAGCAAATTGCATCTTTCTATTAAGTTGTCATCCACAAGCAAAGAGGATAATCGGAGTGATGAAATATGACATGGAGGCATCAATGTGAACAAGGCTCAAAACAAGTTAATTTTCATTAATATTTTTTTTCTCGCTCAAAACAAGTTAAATTTTCATTATAATCTTATACAAGCATATGTATTCCTTCCTCAAAACAAAGAGAATGCTCTAATCTATGCTTGAAATTTGCATCTTTGAGAAAAAGGAGAAGGAAGGGCAGGAGGAAGTGAAGTAGAAGAAAATGGAGACAAATATGAAGAAAAGGTGTGAGCCAATGGAGAAGGAGTAGAGGAGGGAGGTTGGGGAGGTAACAAAAGAGGAGGAGTAGTGGTGACAATGGTGAAGCTTTCTCGGCAATTAAAAAGTCCAACTACGGAGTGATGATGAAGAAGAACCAAAAGAGTCAAGAAATTTAATTTGCTAGATTAAAAAAATAAGAGGACTAAACTTGTGAGAGGATTGGAATCGAACAAACACAGTAGTTGGGGAACCAAAAGTGTAATGAGGAAAAAAAAAGACTACTTTTTTCATTAAAAATAAGATGGTAACTGAATAAAATGACAAATTTGCAAAATTAAGAAATTAAGAAAACTAAAAAATTATCAATTATTAAATTACTAATATTAAAATTTTTCCATTTTTGAAAAAAATTTCCACTACAACGCCACTAATAGGTGATGATATTAAGTGAAAATTCTCATAGATATAGCAATTATTACACTTGATTGTATGTATCTAAGCCCAAATTCTCTTGATTGTAAGTAATTATAGCCACATACATGTTTTTAAGAGTTGAATATGATTTAATGAGATTTGATCTGAAAAATCTTGTTTAGTAGGTGAATTGAATTGAAAAGGAACATGGTAGGAAGTGAAGAAATACAAAAGCTGATAGGGAATCCTGGTTTCTCACTTAAGCTAGGTTATTCTCGCTTGAGTGAGTGACTCAATCAGAAGAAGAGAATTCGATGACAATCACAATCCGTATTACCGAATTAAACGATCTTGAATTGAATTTCACACAATAAACATAAAATTATTAGAGCACAAATAGGAATTGAAACAAGAAGAAAATTAATAAATGTGGAAACTTAATAGAGATGGAGAATGATACCACAATCGCAAGATTGATAAGCTAAGAAACGATCACCACAAGTGTCTTCGACTATTGATAAGATCAAAGAAAACTGTCTCACTCAAGAACCTAGAGTCACGTGCTCTCACAAAAGTGTTCAATCTCAAATTGTATTCAAAACTAATTAAAAATGTGTATATAAGAGCATATATATGTCTAACGCTTATAAACCAACACAAACACAACTATAACGGGCTTGTTGTAGCAACATGACCAAATCCAAGTAAACTAAATAAAATAACAAAATTTTACTCTAACTAAAAACTCAAAATAAGTAATGACTAATATTAAAATAAATAAACTAAACATAGTAATTAAATTCTAATGAAACTCATTGGAGTTCAAGTTCTCTAAGCATATGTAATTGACTATCTTGGGCTCTTCTAACTCTAAATTAAGCTTTCTTTCAAATAGGAAAGCAACCATCTTTTCTAAGTCTTCATTTATTCTTTTTGCCCTTACCCTTTTCATTGGTCATTGAAGTCTTTCCAATGTCTTTAAGCTCTTGTCTTCAATGGGCCTTCTTTAATTCTCATCAGAATTGTAGCTGCCACACCCCACTTAAGCGAGGTATCTCTTGCTTGAGCGAAAGACTTAGCTAGAGAAGAGGAATTTTGTCATCATGCCTCACTTGAGCGAGGTATCTTTTGCTTGAGTGAGAGTGTTTGACAGAGCAGAGATTCATTGCCGCCATATTTTTGCTTGAGTGAGGCATAGCTTGCCCGAGCATGATAGCTTTCTTCAAGATGAAGTCTTCTTGCTTGAGCGAGAATTGGTGCCTAAGTGAGAATCTACTTACTCTGAAGCATATTTAAAGCGACTTGCTGCAACTGAACTTAGTACTCTAACACTTTTTGGAGGGAGAACCATGAAGCACTCAAAGAAGAAAAGTGAGAACACTCAGTGTCTTTCTCATTCATCTTGTATTGATCAATTAATTTGGTAAATACTTGTAACGACTGTAATGAACAACTAATCTTCTTCTTAAGATTGAATGTAATCATTAACTTTTGTTGATTTTTTTTACTAATTCACCTATATATATATATATATATATATATATATATATAATATTCAATATTGGAGATCCTGGTTGTATTATTCTGCTCTTAATGCTTGAATCTATTTGATCAATATATTCTTGATGTTAAAATCTAAGTTATAATCGAGAGGTATTTCTTGGATTTAGATTTAAATAAGTTTACTTGATATGTTGATAGTCTAAAAAGAGATATCAATGTGTTAATTACCTTAAACACTTAAGCTTAATACTGGATAGTTTATTGTATTTTGGAGGGATGGGTATATAATAGATTTATCTTAGAACTCTATACTTAAGGAATTAATACAGGTGAAAATTGTGTGTAGCAATAAGATCTGTGATTTGTACTGTTATGTACCAGTGAATCGTTAGAATATAGAAGAGGAAAATTGACGAAGTTCAATCTCAACTCATTAAATTTGAATTAAATCATGTTTTATGAATTTCATTTGACTTTCTTTTGTCTAATTGCAATATTGCTCAAAAGAACCTACTTCAAAATTACTCTCGTTGAGAATGACTTAAAGAATTAAATGTTTGAGAGATTTTAATCCTGATGTTTAAGTTGTTTTTGGTATTTACATTACTAGAATTGCAACAGTTAGTATTATTGTTTCATATATGGATGTTAGTATAATTTGATAGAAATATTCTCATGGGCGATGAGAGAATTCGAACTGACTGGTGGGACCCCTGCAAGAAAACACTCAAACGTTTTTCAAGGTAGATTCTTTATGTAAAGTAAGGAATGAGTAAACATACTTAAACATGAAATTTCCTTATGTTATATTAATATTACCTTACGAATGTCATTGAGATGCTATGTACGACGTTTATAGCTAGTTTCAAGTGCGCAAGCAGTTGTGTTGCGGCAACTATTGTGGACACCTCTTCTTTCTTAAGAAATTGTGGCCTAGAGTGCTCAATTTCCTCTAAGGTTGTATATGTATACAATTAGGCCCAGGCTCAAATGTTAGCAGTACCATAACCCAACAAAAAGATTGAAGTTTTCGCTCAAGAAAATAATAATAATAATAATAATAATAAAAGACGATTGAAGTTTGTTTTATCTTTTGTGACTTATGTAACGTGGCGTATGAGTAATTCAAACTAAGAAGAGAAAGACCTTGATATGATATCATAAAAAATGAAGAAATTGTGACTATAATAATTTTTTTGTACAGTAAAATATATAACAAGGAGAGAAAAAATGATGTGACATAATGAATCATGTAATAAAAAAATCATATCTTACACAGATAGGTCTCGAGACTTTGTTACATTTGGACTTTGGAGGAGACTGAGACTCCGAGGAACATCAAACACTATTTTACTCGCCATTGCACGTCCTATTTGTCTTCACCAAAAAACTAGTAGAAGGTGAGCTTCTCTTCTTTTTGGAATCATTTTCCATTCTGTGTTTCCCTTCTTTTTAAAAAAAAAAATTCAAACTATTATCATTTTAGCAATCCGAAATATATATATATATATATATATATAAAACAAACTATAGTTGTGCCTTGGCAGATTTTGAGGCGACACTTGGGGTGAAACTGAAAGGAAAGATGAGTGAAAATTTGAAGGAAAGAGTGAATGCTTTAGGAGAGCTTCTCAAAATTGGTGGGGCTGAGGTGGGTAGGAAGATGAGTGCTGGCATGAGTTCTATGAGCTTCAAGGTGAAGGAGTTTTTCCATGATTCAAGGCAGGTTGATAAACTAGTTGGTGATGCTACCTCTGAGGCACTTGATGAGCCTGATTGGGCTATCATTCTTCATCTATGTGACTTGATCAATGCTGATAAACTTAGTGCTGCTGAATTGGTACGTGCAATAAAGAAAAGGGTTGTCACCAAGAGTCCTAGAGGTCAGCTTCTGGCTTTGGTTTTGCTCGAAGCATTGGTTAAGAATTGTGACAAGGCTTTCTTGGAGGTGGCAACTGAGAGAGTGCTTGATGAGATGGTCAAGCTTATTGATGATCCTCATACTTTTGTCAATAACCGGAACAAGGCTTTGATGATGATTGAGGCATGGGGAGAGTCAACCACTCAGCTTCGCTATTTGCCTGTTTATGCAGAAACTTACAAGGTACAACTTATCCATGCTTGTCACCTTAAACTTAAAAAGTTAATTAAAAGCTTTATTAAAAGATCTTTGTTAGATAATATCTTTAAAATATTTGTTTGGAAATTAAAAGTGTAAAGTTTTTATTAAAAATTGTGTTCAACTGCATTGAAAATCACAGAAAAAAATTGTATTTATTATATTTTTAACAAAACACTTTTAAAAAACAGTTGTTAATTATCTTAAAAAAACATTTTTGTAGCATACTCTTAAAAATAGTCTCTTTAACTAATTTTTTTTTTCACAAAATACTAGTCTTTTTACAATTTAAAGGTAAAACTACTTTTTTTAATTTTATTCTTACTATAATTATTATTTCGAAATTCGTTTTTTTTATCTTCTGTCTATTCATTCATTGTATAAATAAATTTTAAAATGTATAATAAAAAATTCTATAACATTTTTAACAAAAATAAGCTAATTAAATAATTTTTTTAATTTTTGTATCACAATTGTAAACAATACTTTTAAAAAATAGAGGTAGTATTTTTTATGATAATTTAAAATATTTAATAAAGTATATTTAATGTTTCAACTTCTGGATATAGAAATATTCAAATAGTATGAGCTATGAAGTCCATATTTGTTTGGTAGTTTTCGCCAATAATTAATAAGATGGCAATGAAAACTCATTAATCATTTTATATCCAACATTTTTCTTTCTGCTCCAGAGTTTGAAATCAAGGGGTATTCGTTTCCCTGTTCGTGACAATGAAAGCTTGGCTCCTATTTTTACTCCCCCTTGTTCTGCTTCGGCTCCAGAGGCTGAGGTGACTCTAGCACATCTTATTCAGCATGGTATTCTGATGCAAAGGCTTACACCTGAACGAACAAAGCAAGTTTTTGACGTTGCAAGAAATAGCATTGAGCTTCTCTGTACTGTGTTATCTTCTTCAATGCAACAAGATGTTTCGAAGGTATTTTACTTTGTTTTTGTTGTGTTAATATTTTACTACTAGTAGCATAAAAATGTCCCTTTTCAGATGTTTCAATTTGAATTTGGCATAATGAATTTTGAACTAAAATATTTTATTTATGGATACAATTACATTTTAGTCACGTCAATAACATATATAGATATAGCATGTCAACCTTTGCTTTATATTCACCAGACCATGAGCTTATTTTTGGTGTGTATATGGTTGGGTTTTTAGTATATATGTAAAGAGAGGCTATATAGTTTAAAACTTATGCACCTTGCAAAATATGCATGAGTTTGTGAATGTTTGAAATTACACTAAAATTAGGGGGTTATAACGTAAAATAAGTAAATTTGACATTAATCTAAGCACACCTTATTCCTTTTATTGCAGGATGAATTGACAATCACACTAGTGCAACAGTGCCGTGCGTCCCAGTCTAGTGTCCACAGAATAATTGACACTGCTGGAGATAATGAAGCAGTGCTTTTTGAGGCCTTGAATGTGAATGATGAGATTCAGAAGATTCTCTCCAAATATGAAGAGTTAAAGGAGAAGAATAAGAAGAAGAGTGCATTTGAACCTAAACCGGCTATGATACCTGTTTCTATTGAGCCTGATGAGTCACCCCATTTTCCAACAGAGGATGCCTTGATTAGAAGACCAGCTAGTTCAAGAGTTAGAGTTCATGGAGGGAGCCATGATGAAATGATGGATGATCTTGATGAGATGATTTTTGGTAAAAAGGGTGGGGATCCTTTTCAAGATCCAAAGAAACAACAAACATCAAAAGATTATGATCTCATCTCCTTCTAAGTTCCCAATACAACACAACCTTAATTATGCTCTGCTATTGTCGTTTCTATACTATGTTCAGAATATTCCACGTTCCATTGTTACGCTCTCTTATCTTTTTTGGCATATTCCGTGCAACTTATGTTTGAACTTTGAATATATGTATTTAATTTCTTGACAAAGTAATATGGTTTTTTTTCTTTTAATTATTAATTTAAAGAATATGCATTAAAAATAAAAATTTTATTTTCCTTTCCCTTTCTTCTTAAAACCCTCGCAAACTAATAATAAAGAATGTCAGTAATATTCATGTCTGCTTGAGGTGCTTTCTTTTATATTACATATTTGCTATTCTCATTGATGATGCAAAGAGAAAATTTTTCGAAGTAGAATTCACCGCCTTGTATCTTTTTTATTTTGGCTTAAATATATTTTTAGTACTTATATTTTAATAATTATATATTTATTTTTAATCTCTCTAAATTCAACAAAAAAACTGATTCTTAACATTATTTTAATAAATCAAATCAGAAATATAGATTAAAAATAAATATTTATAAAACTTAAAAAAATAACAATAAAAAATTTATTAAAATGTGAGATAAAAATATATTTAAAACTTCATAGTTTAGTCGTTACTTCTATTTATTTATTTATTTGTCTAAAGCGCGGGGAGTTAAGCCATTCAGTTTTCAGGCCTGTGGGCAACCATGACACCGGCCCAATCCATTTTCTGACTTTAAAAATTAAAAATGTGAAGCGCTTGTCCAACTCCTTATGAAATTATTTGACAAAAAAAAAATCTTTATGAATATATATTTATTTTATCAGTCTAATTAATTCCTAATATAAATAACCTATAATGTAATTAATTGATAAAATATACATTTTTAAAAAATTCGCACAATAATTTTTACTTAAAAGAATGAATATAATCAATTACATAATGCATTATAAGAACTAAAGGCCGTGTGATTTAACTGTTTACGAACGTTAAACGATAAAGTGAATGATTTGTTTGCATTATTATGATAGAGTTGGCATGAGATATTGGTTTAATGGTTGGAATTTTTGTGAGCGTGGAATAAACTTGTTTTTAAGAAATCAGAAAAGCTAAAAATACCAACCTCTTGGGAATACCATTACCAGTTAGTTCATTTGAATGATCTTGCAGCGTTGCATGAAGCAATGGCAGGAAAGTACATTCAGCGATCCAAATGGCGAATCGTGCTCTTAGCTCTCTCACTTCTCGCTTTCTCGCTCCTCTTCTTCATCTTCTCTCTCTCTCCTCTCCGCACTCCCTCTACTTCTCTCACCCATTTCCAAGTTCCCACCGCAGAAACCTCTTTCGTCACGTCCCTGGATCACTTTCTCACTCGCACCGCACCCTCCGTCGTAGACGACACAGCTCGCGATTCTCTCGACGAAAGAGAGATCACGAAGCTCGACAACGCCGTTCATTACTCCGAGATGGATCGATTGTATTCGGATCCTTATTACCCTCTGAGCCTTCCTCTTAGGGTTTACGTCTACACCATGCCCCCCAAATTCACCTACGATTTGCTTTGGCTCTTCAAGAAGACCTACGGGGACACCTCCAATCTAACCTCTAATGGCAGCCCCGTTCACCGACTCATAGAACAGGTTTCCTTTTCCTTCACTTTCTCGCCGCTTATTCTCCCTTCGTTTGCTGATCTTTGTTGGTTGTGATTTGTGAATGCAGCACTCCATTGATTACTGGCTCTGGGCGGATCTCATTGCTCCCGAATCCGAAAGGCTTTTGAAGAGCGTGGTTAGGGTTCATCGACAGGAGGAGGCTGATTTGTTCTACATACCCTTCTTCACCACTATCAGTTTCTTCCTCATGGAAAAACAACAATGCAAGGCCCTTTATAGGGTGTGAGTGCTCTTCTAACATTTTCGGTTGCTTTTCTCTGTTTCCTACTTTTAGTTCGATCGTTGCTCTACTGTAGATAATTATAATATGTTAGGTGTTGTGGGTGTAGGAAGCTTTGAAGTGGGTCACTGATCAACCTGCCTGGAAGCGCTCTGGTGGAAGAGATCACATTCTTCCCGTGCATCATCCATGGTCTTTTAAGTCTGTTCGCAGATACATGAAGAATGCTATATGGCTGTTGCCAGATATGGATTCCACTGGAAACTGGTTTTTTTCTTTCTTGAGCAATCATTATTTGTTGAAAATGGCCATCCAGTGATATCTTTCATCTTTCAGGTACAAGCCAGGACAGGTTTTCTTAGAGAAAGACCTGATTCTTCCTTATGTTCCCAATGTTGATTTATGCGATGCTAGATGTTTATCTGAAACGAATCAGAAGAGAAGCACACTGCTTTTCTTTCGTGGCCGGCTGAAAAGAAATGCGGTAAGCAAATCGTGTGATTGCTCATTAATTGATTGACACTTTTCTGTTTCATCTCATGCTGGAGTTGCAATTATTGTAAATGCTGGAGAATGTCTTTTTAGTTTTTGCAATTTTGTATCATGTAATATTAGGATGTGTCCTTGATCTCATCAACTATATAAGGAAGGCCTTTTGTCATTTCGGATAGAATCATGACCGGCTAATGTGTGTTTACTTTTTGGTTGTGTTTTGCCCTACTTGTTGAGTATGTGGTTTTCTGTCAATTTTTTGTCTGCTGTGTGTATGTTATATTCTGAGTTTAGTTGCTTTTTTTTTTGCTGTTCCTATTTCAGGGAGGAAAGATACGTTCTAAACTTGTAGCTGAGTTAAGTGGGGCTGATAGTGTGATTATAGAGGAGGGAACAGCTGGGGAGGGGGGAAAAGAAGCAGCTCAAAGAGGGATGCGCAAGTAATACAAGTTCAGCACTTGAATAAATGTTCTCTGGTTACTTATTTTGTTGTAATTGCTTGCTTGCCTTGCACATTATCAGGTCTCTGTTTTGCTTAAGCCCAGCAGGTGACACTCCATCCTCTGCTAGATTATTTGATGCTGTTGTTAGTGGATGCATTCCAGTTATAATAAGCGATGAGCTGGAGCTTCCTTTTGAAGGAATACTTGATTACCGGAAGGTGTGTATGCATTTATATCTCATAAGTAATTAAATTAAGAACATTAGAAAGAGTTAATGGTATACTTGCAATAAAATAATGGTGAAGATAACTTGCTAGTTTTGGATGGTATTTATTTTGATGTGGAGAGTGTGGGCCCGTTGCTGTATGATCATCTGTTTCAGAATATGTTTACAGGGGTATATATGTGTAATCTCTATTGACTTTTTACCTACTACTATTTCAGACAATTAATGTTGACTAACATGCTAGAAGATTCTTTTGAGTGCCTGGGTGAGGGGGGAGATACAATATATCCAGATATGAATACCATCTTGGACCCCTGACTTTGTTTGTTTTAATGACTCATCTTCTGAATATGGAGCAGATTTGTATAGAATAGGATTTATTTATTTTTTTATTGATGAGTAATACAATGAGGCTGTTAGAACCAGGGCACAGGAGCAGATGATTGATATCAATGAGACCTTAAGTGTGGAAGGTTTATGTAGGAAGAAGGGTAGTCAGTTGTTAGTTAGTTGTTAATATTGCTAACTGATACTATAAATAGAGTAGTTTCTAATTGAAGCATGTTCTTTCTTGGTTGATTTTTTGGGGAGAATTGCATTCTTTGTTCAGGAGCTATTCGCTCTAGGGATTCTTTGCAATCCAAATTCTTTCTAAGAGATCAATAAAATCATCATTTTTCTTCAATCTTTGAATTGATTTCATCTCTGAACCCTACAAATTGGTCCAACCTACTGGATCCTACCCCATGTCAACGAGGATGAACGAGAGAGTAGAGGTTCTTGAGTATAGGGTTCAGAACATTGAAGCTTTGCAAAAGATGCTGTCAGACCTAATAAAGGAGATGAATGTCACACTGCAAGAATTGTTGAAGTAGATACAGAAGATGAGCCTTGCTATGATGCCAAAAGACTAGCCGCATATGGAGTCACACATAGAGAAGATTGGAGACATAAATGATGAGAGCATAGGGAGAGGAAACCTTGATGTTCAGTTTTGTTATTCTGTCAAGAAGGAGGAACTCTCTGCCTTCAATGGCGTTGATCCTGTTGGATGGATTTGTAGAGCAGAGACTTATTTTGTTGTGCATGGGACAAGTGAGGCCTTGAAAGTGAAATTGGCTAAAATTTGCATGGAGGGAACCAAGATTCATTGGTTCAATTTGTGGCGTGAGGAGGAACCAACCTGGGGTAATTTGAGACAAACTTTGATGGTTAGATATGGAGGTGATCATTTGGATAATCCTTTTGAGGAATTGAAGTTGCTGAAGCAAGAAGATTCTGTGGAAGGGTCAATTGAAGCTTTTGAAGCTCTTGCTTCTCAGGTTCCAAACTTGCTTGAGTTTCCGGACCTCGGGTATTTTGTAGGAGGGTTGAAAGAAGCGATCAGGTTGAGAATACAAACCCCAGACCTGTCATCTAGGCTGCATGCGATGCATTTGGCAAGGGGAATTGAGGCCTACATCACGAAGGGAAGTGAGATTTCCCTGTCATGAAATAAGAGTTCCGGTGGGGGAATGTTGGGTATTGGCAGTTCAAGAAGGGGTTTTGTCTTCTCCGTTCAGCAAGAGTCTGTGCCCGCAGGGGGAAACTCAAGTAGCCATGGGTTCAAGGTCCGACCTTAGGTTCTTATTCCAATATGGTGACAATGCACAATTAAGGACAGCAAGGAACAATGGTGGAAGTCGTAACAGGGGCTGAGACATCTTCCTCATGAGATGTTGGAGCGTCAGTTGTTGGGAGGAGAGAGAGGAAGATGAAGATTTGGCGCCCATCGTGGGAGATGAGTATGAGGAGGATGAGAGGGAACTAGAGTGCAAGGTGATGAGAGAGAACGAGTTGTTAATATTGGTAATTGATACTATAAACAGAGATTAGTTTCTCAATTGAGGCATGTTCTTTCTTGGTTGGTTGTTTTGGGGAGAATTGCATTCTCTGTTCAGGAGCTATTAGCTCTGGGGATTCTTTGTAATCCAAATTCTTTCTAAGATCAATAAATTCATAACCTAACAGAGGCCAAGGTAATTGTATCCTCAGAAGCATTTAGAAAAGAGCAAAAAGATGGAACCCAAAAAATTAGCAGGGCTATCCAGTTTCTCCAACTCTGTATTGGAGGTGACAATACCCTTGAGATAGCATAGGCCCACAACTCCACAAGCTTAAAACCTAAAAGAAATTAAATCACAATTCTATCCCCAAGTTTTAAGTGCTGGGAGACAAAGGTACATTCATTCTATTTCAATGAAGTGAACCAAAGAATAGTATAGACCAAAGTAGTTAAAATCGAGATTCTAAGTAGGATCGGAGAGGAGATGAAAAATCGTAACTCGTAGGATCGTAACACGAATCGGAAGATCCTACAAAATTGTATAAATACATGTAAAATAGTATAAATATAAAGGCCAGAGGACAAATGAGAGAAGTGAGCCACCCCACCTCAAAACAGAGATATTAAGAACAGAAACAGAGAGGGAAAAGATAGATTAAGTATTGTATTCTGATAAAAGACTATTTTATCCTTAAAGAAACTTAAAACAGAGCCACATTAAGGGTAAAAAGGGAAAGTCAAATTATTTTTAAATGATGAGAAGTCTTGTCCTTAAAAAACCCTAAAATCTGCTTCATAAATCCTAAACCCTAAAGACTATTTTATCTTTAAAGAAACTTAAAACAGAGCCACTTTAAGGGTAAAAAAGGAAAGCCAAATTATTTTTAAATGATGAGAAGTCTTATTTTTACCCTTAGAAAACCCTAAACCCTAAATAACTTTTACTCCAGCCACACTGTGAATTAGGCTACGTTGGAGCTGTGATGGCCACCACGCTATGACAAGGTCGTCGGTGCAAAGCAGAATCGCTGACACAGACAAGGTCGCCAGAGCAGACATAATCATCAGAGCGAAAGCTATAGAGATAGCAGAACAGAGGAACGAAGTTGCAAAGTCCTGGTCGCGTCCAAAAATGGTGGAGAAAGAGGCGATTTTGGAATGAACAGATTCGCTGTGTTGAGGAAGAAGAGAAGTGCACTTCGCAGGTTGCAAAGAGGCAAGAAATCGGAGAGAGGAGTGAAAAAAAAACCCTAAAAATAGGGTAGAAACAACTCGCCTAGGATCGTAGATTCCACGATTTCACGAGGAAGATCGTGCGATCCCAGAGATCCCACCAAAACGAGTTCCAGCCCAGAATCAGAATCGTTGGACCTGCGGCAGATCGTAAAATATTTTACATGTTAACTCGCGATTTTGACTACCATAGTATAGACTGCACATTGTTAGGGAATTTTGGCCTCCTTTTTATTACCAAAGCCTTAAAAATTGTCCTAAGATAGAATGCATCAGGTGACCAAAAACTTCATTGTCAAATCTGCTATATGGTCTATATGTTTATCTGAATTGTCAGAGCTTTATGATTTGTTAATTTTGATTTTTCAGTAAAGTTGCTAATTTCTTTTTGGCCATTTATGCAGATAGCAGTGTTCATTTCTTCTAATGATGCTGTAAAGCCAGATTGGCTTCTAAAATATTTAAAAGGCATTAGACCTGCTCATATCAAAGAAATGCAGCAAAATCTTGCCAAGGTTTGTGAAGAATTTTACTTTGCTCTCTCCCCCCCCCCGCGGGTATTTTTGTTGTCAATCTTGCAATAATATTTTCTGTCATGTGCAAATGTTTGTAAATAATTAACTTAAATTTGTTTCAGTTTTATATATTGATATATTGTACATTCTCTTGCTTGCCTCTTTGGTGTTTAATACTTTTTTTTTTTTTCTTTTCAGCACTCAAGGCATTTCCTGTATTCTAGTCCTGCTCAACCACTGGGTCCTGAAGACTTGGTTTGGAAAATGGTTAGTCTGCTGTTATTAAAGTTTCTGTTCCTAATATTCTTTCTAGACATTTTGTTCAGATATGAACTATGCTCAGGTTTGATCCTCAGCTTACCATTGCATGTTTTCTTCCATTGTAGTATTGTTTAGTTTTGGGTAATGGAATGCTGTTAATCATTTTTAATTCAATGCACCGTTGATATATATTTAGTTCATATATTGTGTGGTAAGTTTATTTCTGGAGGCCATATGATGAAGTGAAAAGAGCATTACGAGAGAGGTGGCTATCAGAATATATCAAGGTTTAGTATTGACTGGTCTGACTGCAGTGTTTCAGTTTCATGAGCTGGTTACTTTAGAATAAGTTTTGGCTTTCTGGTATTCTACTGAAGCTTTAGCTTTGGTTAATGGCTGTAACAAGGGCATTTCATTTTCTAGATGTTATTAGGTGCGATTGTGAATTTGTGCTACACAACTAGCCCTATGACAAGAAGATTTGTGTTTCAAGGTATAAAAGGATGAAGTATCATACTGTTAGTAACCTGGGCTTAGATTTAATTTGTGTTAGAAATCACCAGAAATATCTGTTGGGGAATCTTATAAATTTACATTTCAATTCTATCATATGGCTTTTGATTTTTATGATTCTTCTGACGATGCTTAACTATTTAAAGATGGTTTTTGGGTAGGTATCTTATATTGTTTTGTGATGTTTCCTTGACTGTTTTTTGGGCGTATTATGGAGTCTGTTTTTCGAACGAATGATAGCAGGCATCTCCTTTTAACTATGGTTTTCTCTATATTATGATGCTACAGATTGCTGGCAAGGTGGTGAACATCAAGCTTCACACCAGAAGATCTCAACGTGTTGTGGAAGGATCTAGAAATCGGTGCACTTGTGAATGCAGACCTGGCAACATCACTAGTACTGCGTAATCTCCCGAATGTTTTGTTTTCTTTAATACAATGTAATATCTATGATTTTTCTCAAATATTTTTCCTTGTATTTGTCTGCAAATTTTGTATTCTTTGGTGCGTTAGTTTGGTGTATAACTTAGGTGGTAGTACTTGACTGGAAAAAGAATTAAATGCGAGTCTGTAATATGATAAGCTTTGGATGAGAGATAATGGCAATCAAAGATCATAATTGCGCTTGTAGACGAATTACTGTATAAGATAAAAAATGATGGAAAACCAGATTTCACTTGGATGAAGGCCCAATCGCTCACTTCTAATTTATTGTATTGTCATATGGTGAAGTAAAATAAATGAAAATAAGATTAATCATAAATAACTATTGTTAATATGAATTTTAGGTTTTTAAAGGTGATTGTGAAGTTTTTATATTCGGAGACTTACACTAAGCATGCTGCAAATAGTACTGTGATTATTTCAGCCTGAATGTTTCTCCTGGGCTTTTTTGTAAACGTTGCTCCCATGGTTTTAATGGTGAATTTCTGTTAGGCCCAAATCAATTGCACTGAAAAGTAAAAAAATAATAAAGTTCGTCCTTGTTTCAAGTTAAAGTCAGCTTGCCCCCGTGACTGTTTTCACTTTTTGAGAGCAGAAAATGGTTTAAAAATTGAAATCTTGTAAGAATTTTGTAGTATGGCCAGGGAATGTAACGCTGCCTCATAGCTCACTCTTGATTTTGTTTCCTATTTCATGTCGCAATCTACCCCTCAACGTGGTCCACAAACAGCTGAATTGATGGAAACGGGTGAGGTCTTGATTAGAAATAAAATAACACCATCCTTGACCAAAAAGAAATACAGTAAATCAACACCATCAAAATCGGCGAGATTTCAGACCACTGAAAAAGGTAAGATAAGATTGGAGTGGAAACAGAGAAGTGTAAACTACAGAGAAATGATACATCTTACAATATTTTTCTACTAATTCTCCTAATAAGTTAATAACGAAAATGAAATGAAAAAATTAATTGTATTTAATGCTTGACACAGTGTGTGTGTGTGTGTGTGGGTGTATAATTCTTGGTATTGGAAGATGTTTTAAACAGGATTTAAAATCATTATTGTAACAATGAAGTCATAAAGTGGAGCCAATGGGAGAGCAATGGACAACAGGAACAGCAGAAAATTAGCGGCCAGTAAAGAGAGCATACATGCAAAACAAAAAGTTTTACTAATGCACCGGTTTTTCTTACTGTGATTATAAACTTAAAATGTTGTTTTATATTTTTCTTAATTAAACGGTTAATATCTTAAAAATTACAAATATTTATATATTTTTAAGATAAAATACTATCTTCATTATCTATTATACATATTTAATATACTGTTAACAATATAATTGTTTACAACTTTTATATTGTTCTCTTATTTATTTTAACGTTAAAAAGTAAATGTTACCATCTTTTTATAAAAAATAATTTTAACATAAATTTATTTAAGATTAATTTAAGCACACCTCTCAATCATATTTAATAATTTAAAAATTGATTTTGCCTAAAATTCAGACAAATGGATCTTACATATATATGAGGAGCGAATGAGAGTTAAGAAGAAAAAAAAAGTTTAATCATATGATAATATGTTATTTCTGTTTTACCCTCACACGTATATTTAAAGACTGGTAGATGTGATGATTATTAAATTTTAGATATAGGAGAATTTTTCACAAAATACAATCTACTAAAGATAAATCATGGATATAGTATCAAAGTTTCTTTTATTTTTGGCTCCCCCCTCCTAATTTCCTCTCATGAAAATAGACTATAATTTATCCTGCACACATTATTTGTAATTGGCAAAATAGCACTGTATTTAAATTACGCTTTTGCTTATAGATTTTGAATGGCAGATGCTAAATTAAGAAGTTAGTAAAAAGTGATTTATCAAATATTATAAATCGTATTTTATCTTCAATGTTTAAGCACAAAGTAGCGTGTTTCGTCTTCTCTTAAACTTAAACTAACGTTTCTAGTTATGCTTTTATTTTTGAAGTTAAAGTTGTGTAATGTGAAGTATATAATAACATTTAATAAAAAGATGAAGCGCGTTGTAATCATATGTAATGTAATAAGAAAACTGCGTGATGTGACAACGCACATCTTTTATAGAAGTTTGGTTATGTTGTGATGTGAGGCTAGTTTCGGAATCAAAACATCTTACTAGGGAATAGAGAAAGTTTGAACTTTGAAGTTTCTATAAATTAATAATAAAAAAGAAACATACAATAAAAGAGGCACGTTGAATTAATCATGAATACGATTTGAAAAAAAAAAATTAATGATTGAATTGAAAAATAATCATAAAGAAATTATGAATATGAATTGAAAAATATGAATAACATTACATTGCAAGAATGAAAAAACCCAGAGAAGGAGATACGGCGCGTACATGTTACAGCATCATGCCAGCCGATAATGGTTTAACGTGTCACCATGTACCCTATTTTCCTAAACCGAAATAGAAACACTTGTTTATATTTTGGTCAAATTCTTCAGTAGAAGTTGAATTTGATTTTAACAGTATTAATTATTATTATTATGTTACTAGTGTATAAATAATGAAGGATAACAATACTTTGTATAATAATATAATAACAGAGATTATATGAAAATTTTATGTTATAAAGCAGATTTGTCTGATTGAGTAATATTTCATTTCTAATTTCTAACATAATAAAATGCATAATTGAAAATATTGTCATTAACAGAGAAAGAATGATTAAGGATAGCATCCAAGCAATGCCCATCATCAAGCCCACTACTCTTTCATATCCAAGAACCTTCATATATTATTTTATATTTTTCAAGTGACCAAAAAAACGTATATAATAAATAAAATATGAAAACGAAACGAGTAAGATCATATATATATTTTAGTAAGATTTAGTAATAAGAATATGACATGATCGGCTTCAATCATGGATCCGTAGTGCTTGTAGTTTTGGTCACGACTAACTACCTCGCTGTCTGTCACACTGTGTGTATACAATTGGAGAGCATGTCTTAAGCTCTGTAGTGTCAAACACTTTGTTGTCGTGACTTATAAGATCATAGATCTCAAACTGAGTGGCATTTAGTTTTAAAAGTAACAGCTATGCAACCTTTTTCATCTTGTGGGCACTGTCTGAGTGATCCCTTTTTCTGATATATGCATTCATGGGGTGCTTTTTTTTTATAGTAAAGGTATAATCTTTATGTGATTGTGATGGCTTTCTTGCATATATAACGGGCTGATTGATTTCCGAGAATAAAGGCGAGAAAGATGAAAAATGGGAATTGTGCAAGATTTTATAATATTAGATTTTTATTATTGGATTTGTTTGTGGTTTTTGATGATTTGTGCTTTAAGCAATGCAGGGAAGTCAAAGGGTTCTTACAACTCAGGCTGACTTGATGTGACTGTCTTTAACGGTTAGGCACAACACTGTTTCACTTATTTTTCTGTTTTTGTTTTTATCCACTTTTTTCTTCTCCTCGGAGACCAAGAGTTCTAAATGAAGGATTGAACTTTTTCATCAGAATCTGAGTCCTACTGCTGAGATCCAGTGCTTTGCTCAGTGCATCTGTCAGAAAGGTGTGGATTAATCACTAGTTATATTTTGATTTTGAAAGGTAGAGAATTTTTCACAAAATTTCAAATGCTTGGACTTTATTGTGACTTGAATGATGGATGCTTCTTTAATACTAGGATGGCGTTAGGTGTGATTCACTTATATATTTCTTTCTTTTATCATACTACTCGAGTTATTGATTAAGAATTTAAGATTCACCTTTCAAGTTTCAACTTTGTTCTATTTATTACAATGCTTATGAAGATCTGATTTGCTAAATTTCTGAATATGGCAGGATATTAGAATTAATCTTGGTCCTCAAGCATGACATCGAAACCATTCAAACCAAGCCGGTTATCTCAGTCAGCAAGTTCTGATGCACCTGAAGGCCAGAAGCCTCCTTTGCCTCCAACTGTAACATTTGGAAGAAGAACTTCCTCAGGTCGCTACATCAGTTACTCCAGAGATGATCTTGATAGTGAGTTAGGGAGTAATGACTTCATGAATTATACAGTGCATTTGCCACCAACCCCTGATAACCAACCTATGGATCCATCGATCTCACAAAAAGTTGAGGAGCAATATGTGTCAAGTTCACTTTTCACAGGAGGATTCAACAGTGTTACTCGAGCCCATCTAATGGATAAGGTGATAGAATCTGAAGCAAACCATCCACAGATGGCCGGTGCAAAAGGGTCTTCATGTGCAATTCCTGGTTGTGATTGCAAGGTGATGAGTGATGAACGGGGTGTGGATATTCTTCCTTGTGAATGTGATTTTAAGATATGTAGAGACTGCTATATAGATGCTGTGAAAACAGGAGATGGAATGTGCCCGGGATGCAAAGAGCCATATAAGAACACTGAACTTGATGAAGTTGCTGTGGATAATGGAAGGCCACTTCCACTTCCACTTCCTCCACCAAACGGGGTGTCTAAAATGGAGAGGAGATTGTCCTTGATGAAGTCAACAAAGTCAGCACTGATGAGAAGCCAGACTGGAGATTTTGATCACAATCGGTGGCTTTTTGAAACAAAGGGTACCTATGGCTATGGCAATGCCATATGGCCAAAGGAAGGGAACTTTGGAAATGGAAAAGAGGGTGATGTTGTTGAGCCAAGTGAGTTGATGAACAGACCTTGGAGGCCACTCACACGGAAACTAAAGATACCTGCTGCTGTTCTCAGCCCATATCGGTACAATGACTTTGGTCTTTGCTATTTTATAAATAAAATAAAAAAAAATTGTCAATAATAATAACCATGACTGCATGTTTTGTTTTTTGAAGTTTTTCTACTAATTAAAACTATGCTTTGTTCCGAATGACCAGCATTTTGAAATCATTGTCATGTATGTAGTCATGATTGAGATTTTGCCCTCACCATTTTCTCATCAATTTTACAATGATGATTTGGCATTGATAGAAGCGTGCTATATATATATATATGTGTGTATGTACCATGTGGAAAAATTACATTAAAAGATGCATTTAGATGATGATTTCTGATAAATGGATGAATCTTATAGGAGGGCTGGAGAAAATTGGTGAAAGGAAGTATTTTCTTCTCTTTTTATCAATCTTAAACGTGGCTGTCCATACCATATCACTCCCAAACTTAAGAGTGCTAATGATCGTTAAACCAATCATCTGTCTGCTGACTATTGCTTTTCTTTCTGTTGCATCTGATTTTTCAGTCTTATCATTTGCATTCGTATGGTTGTCCTGGTACTCTTCTTGGCATGGCGGGTGAAGCACAAAAATGCTGATGCAATCTGGCTATGGGGCATGTCTGTGGTTTGTGAGATATGGTTTGCTTTTTCTTGGCTTTTGGATCAACTACCCAAGTTATGCCCAGTAAATCGTTCCACAGATCTCAATGTTCTGAAGGAAAAATTTGAAACACCAAGTCCTAACAATCCTACTGGAAAGTCTGATCTACCAGCCATAGATGTCTTTGTCTCTACTGCTGATCCTGAGAAAGAACCTCCTCTTGTCACTGCAAACACTATCTTGTCTATCTTGGCTGCAGATTACCCAGTTGAGAAACTTTCTTGCTATGTCTCTGATGATGGAGGTGCACTTCTAACATTTGAGGCAATGGCTGAAGCTGCCAGCTTTGCCAATGTATGGGTTCCATTCTGCAGAAAACATGCTATAGAGCCTAGGAACCCTGAATCATATTTCAACTTAAAGAGAGATCCCTACAAAAACAAAGTGAAGCCAGATTTTGTCAAGGACCGTAGAAGGGTGAAGCGTGAGTATGATGAGTTCAAGGTTAGGATCAATGGTCTACCTGACTCTATCCGTCGCCGATCCGATGCCTTTCACGCTAGAGAGGAAATCAAGGCCATGAAACTTGAGAGACAAAATAGAGAAGATGAACCTGTAGAACCTGTAAAGATTTCAAAAGCAACATGGATGGCTGATGGAACTCATTGGCCAGGGACTTGGTTGAATCCTTCATCTGAGCATTCTAAAGGTGACCACGCTGGTCTAATTCAGGTACTGATTAGCTCCTTGTAAGTGTCAAGTTTATTCTTGGAGAGATGAGAATGAAATGATTCATACTTGAAGTGTTGAATGATGCAGATGATGTTGAAACCTCCCAGTGATGAACCTCTTATTGGAAATGCTGATGATACAAAGCTCATTGACCTGACTGATGTCGATATCCGTCTTCCACTTCTTGTTTATGTTTCTAGAGAGAAACGTCCAGGCTATGATCACAACAAGAAAGCCGGGGCCATGAATGCCTTGGTTAGAGCCTCAGCCATCATGTCCAATGGCCCTTTTATACTAAATCTTGATTGTGATCACTACATCTACAACTCCAAGGCAATGAGGGAAGGTATGTGCTTTATGATGGATCGTGGTGGTGACCGCATTTGCTATGTCCAGTTCCCTCAGAGGTTTGAGGGGATTGATCCCTCTGATAGATATGCTAATCATAACACAGTCTTCTTTGATGTAAACATGAGAGCCCTTGATGGACTTCAAGGGCCAGTGTATGTAGGAACTGGTTGTCTTTTCAGAAGGGTTGCTCTTTATGGTTTTGATCCTCCACGCTCTAAAGAACACCACTCAGGTTGTTGCTTTGGTAGTGGCAAGAAGAGTGCTAATACTAACTTCTCTGAAGAGAACCGGGCACTAAGGATGAGTGACTCTGATGAAGAAGAAATGAACCTATCAATGTTCCCTAAAAAATTTGGAAACTCAACTTTCCTCATAGACTCGATCCCTGTGGCAGAGTTCCAAGGCAGGCCTCTTGCTGATCACCCTGCAGTGAAAAATGGACGCCCTCCCGGGGCTCTCACGATACAGCGCGAGCTTCTTGATGCATCAACTGTGGCTGAGGCCATCAGTGTGATCTCCTGTTGGTACGAAGACAAGACTGAGTGGGGACAGCGTGTTGGATGGATCTATGGATCAGTTACTGAGGATGTGGTCACTGGCTATAGGATGCACAATAGAGGATGGAAATCAGTGTACTGTGTTACAAAGCGTGATGCATTTCGTGGAACTGCTCCCATCAATCTCACTGATCGGCTTCATCAAGTCCTTAGATGGGCTACTGGCTCAGTTGAAATATTTTTTTCAAGAAACAATGCATTTCTAGCTAGCCCAAGAATGAAATTTCTTCAGAGAATTGCATATCTTAATGTTGGAATTTATCCATTCACTTCCATATTCCTTATTGTCTACTGCTTCCTTCCAGCACTTTCCCTCTTCTCTGGCCAATTCATTGTCCAAACTCTCAATGTTACTTTTCTTGCTTATCTCTTGACCATCACTGTTACCTTGTGCATGCTTGCTGTGCTTGAGATCAAGTGGTCTGGCATTGAGCTGGAAGAATGGTGGAGAAATGAGCAGTTTTGGTTGATTGGAGGGACTAGTGCCCACTTAGCTGCTGTGCTTCAGGGTTTGCTCAAAGTCATTGCAGGCATTGAAATCTCCTTCACATTGACATCAAAATCTGTTGGAGATGATGTGGATGATGAGTTTGCTGATCTCTATATTGTCAAGTGGACATCACTTATGATACCACCAATCACAATTATGATGGTTAACTTAATAGCAATAGCAGTTGGTGTTAGCAGGACCATATATAGTGTCATACCACAGTGGAGTCGTTTAATAGGTGGTGTTTTTTTCAGTTTTTGGGTATTGACACATCTCTACCCTTTTGCAAAGGGTTTAATGGGAAGAAGAGGGAGAACACCTACCATTGTTTTTGTATGGTCAGGCCTCATAGCAATCACAATATCACTCCTTTGGGTGGCTATCAATCCCCCTGCTGGTACCAACCAAATTGGTGGTTCATTTCAGTTCCCATGATACTTCATTTTTTTTGTCATATGACACTTTTTTCTCCCTTTGTTTAAATTCTTTTTCACTCTCGGATCAAATACTCAATGATAATAGTGAATGGATTTAAATTACTGTTTGTTATGCTTATGAGTTGTGTCTAGGAAGTTAAATTCCAGGAATCGGAAATGTTTGATAGTGAATGGAGATTACTCTGTCCAAGGCTTTTCATTAAACGGCTCACTAACTCTGTTGCTGTATTCTTTATCTATGGAATGAGCAAATAAAATTTAAGTGTTTTAAAATATTCACTTTCCTCAGGTTTCATTACCCTGTTATCTCCCTTTCTAAATTGTTGGTATGACATTAACTTTTTACACACAAATATGAAGTGAAGTTTAAATATATAACTTCTTACAAATTGTTCAAATCCATTACCATTAACCTAATTCAAATAGTTTGTTAAAACTTTAACGAGTTCTGAGTAGTGAATTGAAAATCTCACACACTTGGTAGAAATGTTCCAATTGCCCCTCAAAAATTACAAATGAAGAGTATCATAGCATGATAATTTATGTATTTTCACATGAGAAAACTTATTTTTACCATCTCAAGGAAATTAAAATGTAATGATACATTTAGGCTTAGTTTGGGAGTTTAGAGGGGAAAGGAAGGGCTTGAAAGGAGAAAGAAGTTAAACTTTTCCTTTATTTAGATATTTAATATTGAGAGAGGAGAATGATGAAAGGTTTAATTATATAAATAATATTATTATATTTTATATTTTTTATTTATACTTTTTTATAAAAATAAAAAATAAATATTTTTCTCAAAAAATTAATATTTTTATTTTTTATAATTTTTTTAAAAAAAATCTCACTTGAAAAAGTAATATTTAAAAAAAATATTAATTGTGAAAAAGTATGAGAGAGTAAAAAAGAGAAAACTCTTAAAAAATCCCCAGGTGAGGGAACTCAAAAAATTAGTATTAGAAGAGTTTTGAAAGATTTAGAAAAATTCTGAAAACTTTCTCCTCCTAATTAGGGCAACTCACAAATAAGAGTTAACCCCTCTTAATCCATCCCTTTCTCTCTTCTCATAAACTCAACTTTCAAACATAGCCTTATTAAATATATTTATTTAAAAAAATGTTTCAATCAGTACTATTTAACAAAATAGAACTTTTCACATGTGATAATATTTAGAAAGGCAAAGAGATAAGATAGAAAGAGAGATAATAAAATAAAAGTAATTTTTATTGTACCTTAAATATTAAGAAGATATTCTATATTTTTTTTGTAAAATAATTATAACTATTAATATTATATATTAAATTATGTAATATATAATAGAGTTAGTTGTTTATCTTAAAAAGATACAAATATCTTTTAATTTTTAAGATATTTGAACAATCATAAGTGTTAATTCAAGAAAAATATAAGATATACTTTCAAATTTATGAATATGGTAACAAACACTTAAAATAAATTCATTAAATATCACATTACTTAATAACTTTTTATAAAATATAAAAAGTTTAATTATGTTTTTTTGTCCCTATAAATATTGAACATTTTGTAATAAATTCTTTAAAAACATTTTGTTTGAATTTAATCCTCGAAAAGTTAAGTTAATATTTAGTCAATTCTCTACTCAATTAAATGCTTACTGACGAAAAGTCAGCTAAGTACTTTTACATGGCATATCACATTATTTAATTTTATAATATTTTATTATTTAAAATTAATATTTGCAACTAAGTCTTTTAATATATTTTACATAATTGCAAATAAGTCATCTTCTTCTTCCTTATCTCATTTTCTTTTCTAAAGTTTCTTTTAGCCAAGATCAAAAACACTTTTTCATTGCATTAAAATTTCAATCCAAATTTAAATTCATTAAAATCCAATTTCAAAGAACCCCTAAGGTAGGTAATAAAACATACACAAACCCAAATTTTAATATCAATCCAAATCTAACCCACCAACCATATTATAAATACTAAACAAATTAATTAAAAAAAAAAACACTACACAATACACACACATGACGGATATGGAACAAGGAGGGGAGAGTGTTAAAAATAACAACCTGAACGAGTAGGAATAGTAATGGCTAGGGTATTATAATATTCATCCCCATATTTGCGTTTTAAAAAAATACATGTACCCAGCATCATACCTACGTGGATATGAACATTAATCCCTATACTCGTACTCTTTGGATATTTGCATACCCATACCCGTCAGAAATGAAAACAGGTCAGGTCAGGTCAGACTTTACTCTAAACAAACTCGGCCTGTAACATAATTATTAAGTTTAAACCTAGCCTGTTACTTATTAAAAGTTTTATTTTCAATCTAGTCTGGCTTATTTAGGTGGCCTGGCTTGACTTCAAGCCTATTAAAAAAGTCTGCTATAAAAAAATATCTTAATATTAATGAAAATATAATTATTTTAATATCAAATTAGTTTATATATTTTCAAATTTTTATGTGTTATTGATAATTATTAAATATTGTAATAATTTTTATATAATTTTATAAATAATTTTAAAATATTATTTGAGCATTAACTATAAATATTTTTATATTATAAAATTTTTATACTTTTTATTAATTTAATTTTATAAAATTATTAAATTATTAAATATTTTAATTATTTTTTATGATAATTATATTTTATTTGTATAAAGACATCTTATGTTCAATCAATAAAAACACAGTAAATACATAAACTTGATAACAAAAAATAACATTCACAAAAATTGTTGAATCAGCTAAAAAATTTATTATATTTAAAAAATTAAATAAATATCATCATTATAAAAATTGTATATAAAAAATATTTATATTATAAAATTCATAGATGCAGAAAAATAACATATGAACATAATAAGAATTAACAAAATTTATATTTAAATTAAAATAACTTATATTTCTAAACTTTTATCTTAATAAAAAAATATGTGATAAAATTTAATATAAAAACTTGAACTCAATGCAAATATATATATATATATATATATATATATATATAAAATAACAATAATAATAACTATTAAATTAAAAAAATAATTATAAAATATTTAATTTTATTAATTTTTTATTTTATGTTAATAAATATATATAAAACTAACTACACTATAACATTAAAACATATATTTATATATTATATATAAATTAAAAATTAATTAATAATATAATTTTTTATTTATACTTTTATGTAAATATTTATTAATTATTGAATTTCAAATACATATTAACAACTATATTTTTTAAGAAAAATCTATCTACATCTATATCAATTTTATTAAAAATAATTATTTAAAATTTGAAATATTTATATTTATGTGTGTTGCCGTATGCTGTTAATCTGGTTTTTAAAATTTGTTTTATAGGTACCTTAATCAAAAAATTTATACTAATAAAAATAAAACAAATAATAAGTTACAAAAACTATATATTATTATATATAATTTATTTAAAATTATATTATTTATATTATTTACTTTATGGTCCTATTATATATATATATATATATATATATATATATATATTAAATTTTTATTTTATTTTTTATCATTTTTTTATAAAATTTTAATTTTAAATAAAATATAATTCATATTTAAATAATTTTTATTTATTATAAAGAAAAAAATTAAACATAATATATTAATATAATAATTAAATAACTAAATATTAATAATAATAAAATTAAGAATATAAAAAATATATTAATATAATATTTTTATTTTATTTTTAAATTTTTATTTCGTTTAGTTTTGATTACGTCTTGGTCCTAATCAAAGACTTAACCACTCTTTAACTTATTTAAATGTAACAAATATGATAATTTATTATTAAATAAATTTATTATTTAAAAAAGTGTAATCGTGTATAAATATTTTTAATTTTTAATAGAATATAATTTTTATTTATTATAATTATAAATAAAAATAATATAACATAATATATTAATTTAACAATAACAGAATTAAGAATATAAAAAATATATTATTAAATAACTTTATTATTTAAACATATTTTGATAGCTCTATTTATATATATATATATATATATATTGGTCTATAGGCTTTGTAAACACTTTAGGTCTGACTTGTTTACTGTCTTAAAAAAAGTCTAAGCCTTATTTGTTTATTAAAAAGGTCATGTCAGGCTAAGACTAAACTAAGCCAGGTCGCAGGCTACTGTCAGGCAGTCTAACCTGTTTCTATCTCTAATACCCATACTCATTACCGCACCTATTTGAGAAAAAATATTTATAAAAAAAATATGTTTATATAATTTCACATAAATAGCATAATAATACAAAAATTTAATACATAGTTGTTGAATAAAGTACAAGTATAGATAAAAAACAAATATTCAAATATCACAAGTGCTAAATATATCTTAATACAACAACTTTCTAAACTAAAATTCTTATAAAACATAAGCAAAATTAAACACACAAGTTATTTATTGGCGATGACCTTGTCTTGTGTGAGATTCGATTAAACGACAACAACAAGACGACAACGAAATAGATCTGCACAATGAATGACCTTTTGTGTGGAATCACTTAGTGACCTCTTGTGGCGACGTTGGCAACTAGCTCTAACAAATAAAGATTCATGATTGCTGCAATAGGTTTGACTGATGTAGATATTGAAAATGAGAATAAGGTTAAGGCAGAGAAGCTTAAGTACTATGACAACAAGAAGTGGACATATAACACTTTTTTTTTTACTTTTGAATTTAAAATTGTAAGAAAAATAATAGATTTAAATAAAATAATATAATATAATTAATATATATATATATATATATATTAATGCTAATAGTTTTAATTCATGTATTATACAAAAGTATTTTGTCAAAAATATAAATTTTTAAAATTATTTTAATGAATTAAATATTTATAATATATATTAATTTTAAAAGAAAGAATTTAAATAATAGATAAATGGTCACAATAAAATTTTATAATGAAAAAATATACATGTATATAAAAGAAATTATACTTTT